CTGCACCGCCGGGAAGGGGAAACCGCTCGGGACGGAGAGGGGCACTCTAGAGGAGGCAAGGGAAGCTGGACACCCTCCCCTCCCGCCTACAAAATAAGTGTTTTTATTTCTACAGGGACGTGTGCAGAGGCGGTGGGAGAAGAGAAAAGGGAGACCAAGGAGACTGGGGGAAGGGGGCGAAGAGAGAGCCTGATTCAGACTCGGAAATGGATGTTGAGCGTGGAGGCCTGACACCCCCACACTCAGCCACGTGTACGCGCACAAGCGCTCGCAGCCCCACCGCGCGTGAGCCGCCGCCGCAGACCAGGGCTGCCCAGCAGGGGGCAGCCGAGTCCGAGCCCAGGAGCAGGGACTGGCCGAGCTCTGCCCCACCCCTGACCCCCTGGCTGGTCAGGGAGGGGAGGGGGTGCTCAGAGTCCTCTGGAAGCTGCAGGATCTCCTGGACCTCAGAAGGGAGTGGACTGGCGCTCGCTCTAGCCTCAGCAGGCTTTGAGGAGCAAAGATGCCCCTACACGTGCCTGCCACGTGTGCCTACCAGTGGCATCCCATGGCTGCTGGCCAAGCCCCAGGGACTCCAGTTTCTCCTCCACCTGTCTCCACTGGTAACTGCGGTCCAGCCCCAGGTTACCCTCAGGCACCAGAATTGAGAGGGGGTGCTTGGTGGGGAAATGGGCAGCGGGAAAGTAGTGGGCATGTCCCAACCCCCGGCCAACTGGACTCCAGAGCCCTGGGCTTAGAGCTAAGGGGCCTGTGTCCAAACACTCACCCACCACCTATCAGTCACACCTCTGCGCTTTGGTTTTCTCATCTACATAAAGGGGATAACAGGTGATCCTGGTCCTTCCTACCTTCCACCCCCGGGCTTCAGCATGGCCCAGTGGGGCAAAGCACACAGCAGCCCCGAGTAGCCCCCCCATCTCTCCTCTGTGGTCAGCTCCCCAGGAGGTCTCTAGGGCCAGGTGAGGGCAGTGCGGGACCCAAGTCTCTATGGCAAAGGGCCCCCAGGGGTTCTATCTCTGAGGAAACTCAACACAGAAATCCAAACCGGTGGGGAAGGCAGAGGTGGCTGGCCAAGCAGGGGGGCTGAGGGAGGTGGAGAGAAGCACAGGTTTGTCGCTTCCCAGGTGCACACCTGTGAGCCCTGAGTGGGAGTCAGGGGAGACAGAGTTTGACAAGCTGGGAGGAGAGCTGTCTGTCTGCCTGTCTGTCTGTCTTCCAAGTGGAAGCTGGAGGTGGAGCAGGCAGGGAGATAGAGGCTGCCTCACTTGTCAGAATTAACAAGTTCCACAGTTGGGCAACACTCAGACATACACCGAGTACAGACACACGTGTACACACACATCCTGGCTCCAGACCAACAGGGTGACACCTGCACCTCCAAAGGCTGCATGGTGACATGCATACTCGGGGACACACATGTGCTGGGCACTCAGCATCGTGTGGAGCAGGCACAGAGCCCCCACACTCATCCCCGAACACCAGACACCTGTTTGCCCTCACGCCGGGCTCTGCAGCGTGGACAGACGCAAGCACACAGCCCAGCACGCGGCGCGTCTGCTCAGCCCGGCTCAGCCCCGGGCGGGTGCGCCAGCCCTCTGGGTCTGTTCCAAGTTGGAGCCTCTCACATGAGGCCCAATGTGTCATTTCCAAACAGAAGGAATACAGCTCCTTCGCAGCCGGGAGGAAGAGCAGGGTTTGGGGCGGCTGGGTGGGTGGGCGCGTGGGCATGTGCCGGGGGCAGAGCGCGTGTGAGGGAAGGAGGCACGTGAACCCCGGAGCGGGTGTCGGGCATGGTGCGTGTGGCTTGGGGGCTCTAAGGTTGGGTGGGGGAAGGACCGAGGAAACAGAGTGTGCCTTTGTGAGGGTGTGTGTGCCGCCGAGTCTGTGTGCAGTGGGTGTGGGTGTTTGTCTCCCTGTATCCGCCTTCTCTCCCGTTCTGGACTTTTAGCCTTTCTGGGCTCATTTTCCTCATGTCCTACCCCCTCCGTCTCAGGCCTCAAGTTGGGGACCCTGGTGGAGGAGGGGGGCATGCTCCAGGACCCAGTCCAACCCCAGACGTTGCCTGAGGCTTCCCTCCAGCTCCCCTCCCTTCTTTTCTTCCCGCCCTCTCTCTCCCTTCCTCCTCCCCCCACCCCAGGCTGGCGTGCCAGGGGGTGGGACATGCCAATCACTGGCTGTGCCTCTCCGGCTGCCAGCACAGGACGCAGCTCCCCCCGGGAGCCAGGTGTTTGGGTCCCTGGAGACACCGCCAGCCCCCGGGAGGCAGTGGGGTTGAGGACCCTACAGACCCCTCTCCAGCCTCATGGTAAGTACATTTAGAAGGGTTTGGGAGGGGCTCCACCGAGGTGGGGCCTGGAGAAGCAGGGTCCTGGGTTCAAAGTAGGGACCAGACTATGTGGGTGGACCCCAGAGAGAGGAGGGGACCAGGGAGGGGTCTAGAGATCAAAGGTGCTCTACAGCATTGGACATTGGCTGCCCCAAACACCCTATCCCCTTGCTTTGAGTGGATACACCTGATGTTTTTCTGGGGTTCAACTGGCAGGGGAGATGGAACCCCCCTAGGAAACTGGACCTGGAGCCCAGAAGGGATCAGGCTGCTATGTAGCAGGCACAGCCCCTAGGACCCCAGGGACAAAGTGGGAAGGGGAGGGGGCCAGGGGGCAGCCCTTGTCATCAGCGTCCTGTGGGAGGTTGAGCCCCCAATTAGGGTACCGGTCCCAGAACCCCTCCTCTCCTCCTTCAGGGAATTCTGAATCCCACCACCCCCATCCACCTTCAGCCCCCCCAAGATGGACTGAACCAGGCTGCTGGCCAGATGGACAAGCTGGATGCCAAGGTGGGTGTTGGGCCTGAAGCCAGCAGGAGACCAGGCCAAAAGCCCCAGGGCTCTCCGGGGACAAATGGGCACATGGATGGCCACGCTGGCCAGGGAACATGGTGCCGACATGTGTGGGGACCCAGAGAGCACTCCCTATGTTCTTAGTATCTTGGGCTCCCTCAGGGCAGATCTCAGCCCTCTGTCCAGGTAATGCATGGACACTAATGGGCACCAATGCCAGGTACCCATCCCAGTACCCCCAGACTCCACAGTGTGGGGATAGGCTGGGGGCCAGGAGCTCTGATTCTTGCAGAGTTGCCAGCTCCTAGGCTGGCAGCTGGGAGGGGTGGTCAGCTGTCACTGGGTCTTTCAGACAGTGCTGCGTAGGTGTTCTCAGTGCCTGTAGACAGGGGTCCACCTCTTCCCACAAAACATACCTGCAGCTCCACCTAGACGGACCCAGGGCCCGGCCAACTGGCCGGAAGGAGTCAGAGTGTCTCCTGCAGCCGGACAGTGTCCTGTCCCCGGGTAATCAGCTGCTCACTCAGCTGTCAGATGATAGCTTTTCCTCTGCCCCCGACCTCAGCCACTAGACAATCTGTGATCGCCACTGCGATACAGAAGGCCGGGGAGGAGACGGGGAAGGGGCTGCGGAAGATGTGACCCCTGGCTCCAGGGCTGGGGCCTGGAGGCCTGAGAGCTGAGCCCCTAAGCGCAGAGGACTCCGCAGTGTCAGGAAGGGGTTAGGCAGAGGTCAGGTCACGCCTAGAAAGGAACCTCCCCATTGTACAGGTGGAGAGACCGAGGCTGAGAAAGGGGAAGGGACATGCTCATGGTCACAGAAGGGACATTTAGGGGCCCGGCTGGGGCTTGGACCTCATCCCCCTGGCCCTCAGCACACTTTCCCTGCTTGAGCAGTGGCAGGTGGGGGAGCAGCAAGCTTTGGAGGCAGGAGCTCGGGCTCCGCGGGTGGCGGTGGGGAGAGGTGGGTGAGTCTCTCCCTGGGTTTCTCTCCACCGTGATGCCATGGTGATGCCTAGGATGGGGGAGGGAGGGAGGAAAGGAGATGGGAAAGGAGCTCAAGGAGTGGCGAGTAGGGGGCCTACGCAGCGAGGGCCCAGCCCACTAACCGCCAGGCTCGGGGCGGGGTCGGCTGAAGCCAGGCCCTGGTTAAGGTCCAGCCACCACGAGGGTATCTGGCAGTGGTTCCAGGGCTGGGCTCCCGCCAGCTCAGCAGTGCATCTAGGAGCGGCGAACCGATGGCTGCTGCCCTCCAGAGGGGCGGCTGGCGATCCGGGGAGACTGTGGAGCCTGAAACTGTGATAGATTGTACCTGTTCACCCCCTCCTCCCGAGGCCAGGCATCAGGGTGGCAGCTTCGTGCACCTTTAATGGGTCAAGGGCTACCTTCAGAGAAAAGTTAACCTGGGGGACAGAGCCGCCTCTGACAGCCTGGCTTCGGGTTAAGGCCCCAACCAAAGGGACCGGTCAGGAGATCTGGCCAGAGGAGCGCCCCCCTCACTGCACCTGGGTGGTCCCAGGTGCCCAGCCCCCACCTCGTACCTCTGTCTCCCCAGGACTGCCCCTGCTCTCCAGCAGGGGTTCTGCAGGCTCCCAGGCCCAGAATCCCAAGATGGCTTCACTCCTTCCTGAATCTTTTGCCAGCATCCCCTTATTCTCTGCCCCCTTCTCCACTCCTCAGCCAGTGGTAAGATTCCGGAGACCCTAGTGTTCAGGAATCCCTCCAGCATCTCTCCCAGCCACCCCCCCTCCCCTCCCCCTTCCTCTCACCATCCAGATCCCCAGCCCCTGGGGATCTGTCCAGGGCAGCAGCGGTCAGGAGGCTGGCCTGCCCTGCTAGAGGCTCTGACCTCATCCCTTAACTCTTTGAGTCCGGGATGGCTTTTCCCTCCCTCAACATGCCGGGCGCCACCCACGCCCATGCCTGTCTCACCACCCCGCTCCGATTCCCTGGCCGCAGGTGAAGCAGGGTTTCCTTGGCCTATTCCTGGTCCACAGGTGAGGATGCCCGTGGCCGTTCTCCTCCTGTGCTCTCAAGCCAGACAGGGTCTCACCCAGGAGACAGGGACCTGGCAGGTGAGGACATACAGAACTGGAGGGACCATGCTCTGGAGCTGGTCCTGACCCCTGCAGGGTCATTGTCATGCCCCTGGGCCTGAAGCCAGGCAGGACGGCTCCATGTACACATTCATGCATCTATTCCACAAATGTTTATTGAGCAACTACTGTGTGCCAAGCACAGCCCCTACCCTGCCTCTGAGAAAGCTACAGCTACACCTCCCCCTTCCTGCCACACTGTCATCATACATCACACAGACAGACAACAGGCACTGTCACACACACACAAGCCAGATCCTCAAGGAAGGACTGACTCCTCACCAGTGACTGATTCATCCCGGGGTTTGGCCAAGTTTGTCTAGGTGGGCAAGGAGGCTAGTGAGGCCCCCATCCCCGCAGAGCCGTTTAGAGTAGGCGTCCCAGAGGTTCGTCTCAGAGGCAGGCTGCCTGAGTCCAGATCCTGGCGGCGGCGCTGATAAACTAGCTGTAAGGTCCTTAAGGTCTCTCAGCCTCAGTGGCTCCTTTTGCAAATTGAGGATAATGGAACCTACTTTGCAAGGAGTTTAACAGGTTGATTAAATCATGTGTATAATGCTTACAGCCATGTCTCGTATATTGTAAGCAGACTGTAAATACCAGTTGCTATAATAGTATTAATAATATTATTAAACGCGCCCAACAACCTTCATCAGGAGGCCACAGTCCTGGGCAGAAAAGCCCCTCCCCACTTCCCCAGATGCGACACACTCAGAGGATGAGTCCCAACCCCTCCCCACAAAGCCACAGACTCACCCCCACCACTTCTTGCTCTTACTGAGCAATGCACCTGCCCTCACATTCGAACACTCGACCTACAGAGGGTTACCACATTGGCACAAGACTTGTCCAAGGTCACACAGGGAGACAAGAGCAGAGATAGGGCTCAAAGCTAGGCAGAGGCAGCACCAAGGACTTCCTGGGGGAGCCCTCCCCACCCCCTGCATCCCCATCGACTAACTCCGTCCCCCGTGGATGTTTCACAGCACATGCTCCCTTCCTGCCTCCTTTTCAACCAGACAGCTGGCTCTAAGCCCCTCCTCTGCAGGAATCCTGGGGGCTGCTGAACCCTGGCACCCTGACCCTCAGCCCAGGGCTCACCACCCCCACCCCCACCCCCCAGGAATCAGCCACAGTCACAGGAAGCCTGGTTCTTTCACAACCATCATCTTCCTGAACAGTAGTGGCCCCAGTCGAGGTGTTAAGGAGACTGGCCCAAGGCCATAGAGCAGGGACCAGAGCAGGCCTTCTGAGCGAATCACTGTCCCAGAGAGGCTGGGGAGGATGCTTCTGGTTAGGACAGGCTGAGCCAGTGACAGCTGCCCTTAGCTGCATGACAGGAGCTCAGAAGCTCCAGGGGGTGGCAAGAATCAGGGTTCAGTTCCCCAGAACCTCTACTCCTCTCCTTCCTCCCAGATGGGAGGCCTTGGTCCTCATGGCCCATAGGTCAGCCAAGCAGGAAGAATGCAGGCCTTGGAGCCCACAGGCCAGGGCAGAGTCCCAGCTCCCACTTCCTGTGAGACCATCAGGGAGTCACTTACCCCCTGCCCCCAGTGTCTTTATCTATAAAACAGAGCTAAGAACCCCCCATTGAGCTAAGAATCCCCCTGTGGATTAAGGGAAATGCTATCATACATCAAGGGCCTGGCATGCAGGAGGTGATTAACTATGGTGGTTATCAATATGAAAATGAGAGTGTTGGAAGGGACTTCCAGCCACTCAGGAGAGGAACTCCAGCCTCCTCCCCTCCAAGGACCATGTCTTCTCTCAGGCCCGCATTCTGAAGCCTTTCTTTAATGCATCAAAGCCCTAGCTAGCTCCCAGCAAGCGTCTGGCAGTGGTTAAGATGGGCAGTGGATGCCATGCTTCCACCGCGAGGTGTCATTCCAGCCCCCCTGAGAGAACATGTAAGCATCAGCCTCGGCAGCCTCACCTCTCGGACTTGACTCCTTTCTGTCCAGCGTCTTGAGATGTTAGTTTCAGGATCCTGTGAAATCTTTGCAGACACCAGGCTGGTCTGACTCCTCCGCTGTACAAACGAGCAGCGTGCGGCCCAGAGAGGGGCTGTGCCTGGGGTCTGGAGGGGAAGGGCCAGGGCCAGAGGGCCTGGGCGGTGCATCAGAACAAGGAGTCAGGAACCCTAACCGACTCCTTGAAGAGGCCTTTAACTGAGTGTCATTTCAGAGCCAGGCACTTTGGATGCCATCATCCCCATCAGCTGGGGGATGCAGGCAGCTGGGAAAGGAAGGGTTACATGATTGCTGATGGTCACACAGCTAGGAAGGGACAGCTTTGAGATTTAGAGCCAGGCCTATGGTCCACAATGCTAGGGTGAGGCGAGTGAGGCACCCTGATTTAAGGGGGGCACAAAATAAACGTCCCTAATCAAGATAAATACTATAGTAATGTAATACTTTTAGAAATCAAATAGCAAACTACCCCCCACAGGTGGGTGCTTCGTCTGCTTTTGTAAATAAAGGGTGATTGGAACCAGGGCTGGGATGAGGGCAAGGCACGGGTGATGGGGTGTTTGTGCAAGTACAGAGTTGGATCCTGCCTTTGTTTAAAATTGTGTTTATTATGAGTCTTTTGCATTAATTTCCATTTTTTAAATATTACATTAAACTGTTCTTTTCTTGATTACTGAGTTTGGGGGCACCTCCTTAAATGTTGCACCCAAGGCATGTGCCTCACCCGCCTCACCCTAATCCTAGCCCTGCTGAGGCATAAGGACCAGGTGCAATGGTGGATGGAGTGCTTGGCTCGGCACTGAAGTCTGCACCATTGAAGGAGCTCCTGCAGCTGCAGAAGTACAGCCTCTTGGACCAGTAGGCTCCTCTTCTAATAAAACCTCTTCAGGACTTGGCCCAGGTTGCCGCTGGGAGCTACAGAGATGCTTGGAGGCACCTGGGAGTTGGGGGTGGGCAGCACCCAATGTAGGAGCCAGGGGACCTTGGGCGACACAATGCCTTCTTCCTCCTTTTCTAGGGGCCTCAGTTGCTCCATCTGTGCAATGGGCATTAAACAGCGCTGAGCCCAGATTAGAAGGCAACCTGTCACCAGGAAGCCCCATCAGGTGCATCTGATCCCAGGCTGCCACCCAGCACCTGACTTTGGTTAAGGAAGAAAGATGCAATAAAACTCAGTAAGCAAAAAATAATAATAATAACATTTCAGTGTAATACCTTAAAATTTTAAATTGGCAAATTCTGGCTCCCGGGCCTGCCATCAGATTTTATAAAGTTTCACTGGAACACACTGCTTGGGCTCAAATCCTGGTTTCTGCCTTACTTGTGTATCTTGTGCAAATTCTCTTGCTTTTCTCAGCCTCAGTTTCTTCATCTGTAAAATGGAGAGAAGAGCAACGCCTTGGTCATAGGTTCCCCGTTACGATGAACAGCAATAAGGCACATGTAAAACTGGCACTCAGGGAGCACTAAGTCACAGCAATGGTCACTATTGTTACTAGTTGCTGTTGTCAGAGTGTTAGAAACCCTTATTCAAAAGGCAGATGCTTCAGGGTGGCAGGGAGCCCTCGCCGCTGCACAGGCTGTGAGTCACTAGGAATCTATGTGCCAGGGCTGTTCTAGGCACTTTACAGCTATTGACTCCTTTAAGCCTCACAATAATCCCTTGATTTGTTAGCTAGAAACCAGTATTATCCCCATTTTCACCTGAGGAAAGTGAGGCACATAGCAGTTATGCCTCTAGCAGAGATCACAACCCAGTAAGTGGAATAGCCTGAATTCCAGGGCAAACAGTCTGGCTCCAGAGCCTGAGTCCTTCAACCAGGATGTTAAATGTGCCCCCTCATGTGCAAACTGTCCCGGACACACTGACAGCCACAGTCCTTCTTGCTCGTAGGTCACACTCTGAGCTCTCCATGCTTAGAGTCCCTATCACACACGGACAGTTCACCACGAGCTGCGGAGCTGCCCTCAGCCACACACACTGCGGGTCACACACTATCACAGCCAGTCTTTCTGTCCCAGGCCAGGTTTCCAGGAGCACCAGGGCTTGGTGAGTCCTTGCTCAAAAGCTCTCCCTTGGAACTTTTCCAACAATATGGTCCCTGAAGCCACAGCTGCAAGTAGGAGGAGACCCCAGTCTCTTCAATGGACAGATGGACACCTGAGGCCCAGAACAGGAAGGGACCAGGCCATGGCTGAGCTGGGGGACCTCCTGCCTGGCCAAGAGGTGGCTAAGAGTCCTGGCTTTTCCCTTTACCTACACTTACTGCCTGGGCTAGACTCCAGTTTCAAGAACAATCTGGGGGCCTAGCCAGTTTGGCTCAGTGGTTAGTGTGTCAGCCTTCAGTCCCAGGTTTGATTCCAGCCAAGGGCACATACCTTGGTTGGAGGCTTGGGCCCTGGCCCTGGTCGGGGCGCGAGTGGGAGGCAACCAATCGATGTGTCTCTCTCACATCGATGTTCCTCTCCACCCCCTTCCACTCTCTCTGAAAAAGCAACGGAAAAAATATTCTCTGGTGAAGATTAAAGAAAAAAAAATCTGGGGGGTCCTGGCTGAGTCGTTCAGTTGGTTAGAGCCAAAGTTGTGGGTTTGATTTCAGGTCAGGGCACATACAGGAAGCAACCAATGAATGCACAACTAAGTGGAAAAACAAATCAGTGTTTTTCTCTCTCCCTCTCTCTAAAATCAATAAATAACCACACCCCCCAATCTTTTTTTTAAAAGAGAAAAATCTGGGAGATCTTCCTGTTCCCCTTGCTGCCCCCACTCAGCTGGAGCCCGGGAACAGAGTGGGGAGGTGGAGGGGCCTCCCACACCCCATCTGGGGCTAGACCCCGCTTATCTGGGAGCGGAGTCCCTTGGCCCTGCTGCCTGCTTTTACTGAAGATCTTCTGCCACCAGGCGAGTGTCCCAGCCCAGCACACTTTCCCTGCTGCCCTCATAGAAGCAGCCCCAAACCCCCCTCTCTCTTTCTGTGTCTCCCCACCCCCACTCCCACACAGATGCACATTCACACACAGGTCCCCTGTGCTCCCATCTCTTTCCCCTTGTTTTCTCTGGAGCCCTCGCCTGCCTTCTCGTGTCTCCTTATTTGATGGAATTATTCCCCAGGAGCTCCACGTGCTCAGAGAGAGAGAGAGAGGTGGGTTCTAATCCTCCCACCTGTGTCACCAGGACCAGGCCTTGCGGCCACTGCTGCCTCAGTGAGCTGGGGATCATAAGAGACCTTCCTCCTAGAGATGCGCGACGGTTAAATTAGATAATTCAATGAAGTGCTTAGCATTGTGTCTGGTGCGTAGTAACTACTCAGAAAATGAGAGCTTTAATAAAATTTAGTAGAATGCTTTGAAAATTTGGCAGTACTGTCTACAAAGCGCGTCTCCCAGCTCCTGCCGCATGAGGTAAGCAACACAGGAATTAGTAGCAATTTCCCAATGAGAAAATTGAGGCTGAGTCTGGATGGTGACGCTGGAATGAGGACTGAGGTCTCTGGATTCCGAAGCCGCCCCCTCCCCCGTGCTGCTGCTAAGCCCATTCACGGCTGCGAAGGCGCGTTACACGCCGGGTGGGGACCAGCGCAGGAGGGGACCAGCCAGTCCACGGGGTGATGCTGTCTGGCCTGAAGCCCTGGGAGGGCGGAGGCCGTGTTCCTAGTACCCTCCACTCCGGGCAACGGGAGGATCCAGCAGCCCAGCCAAAGCTCATGTCCTCTCTTTCCAGGCGATGACCTCCTCCTGAGGAAGCCCTGCTGTGTGACTAGAGGAAGGGGCTGCCCCCTCAGCCCCACCCGGCCACCATGAATACCTCGGCCCCACCTGCCATCAGCCCCAACATCACGGTCCTTTCCCCAGGAAAGGGGCCCTGGCAAGTGGCCTTCATTGGGATCACCACGGGCCTCCTGTCGCTGGCCACAGTGACGGGCAACTTGCTGGTGCTCATCTCCTTCAAGGTCAACACGGAGCTCAAGACAGTCAACAACTACTTCCTGCTCAGCCTGGCCTGCGCCGACCTCATCATCGGCACCTTCTCCATGAACCTCTACACCACGTACCTGCTCATGGGCCACTGGGCGCTGGGCACGCTGGCCTGCGACCTGTGGCTGGCCCTGGACTACGTGGCCAGCAATGCCTCCGTCATGAACCTGCTGCTCATCAGCTTCGACCGCTACTTCTCCGTGACCCGGCCCCTGAGCTACCGCGCCAAGCGCACACCTCGCCGGGCCGCCCTGATGATCGGCCTGGCCTGGATGGTTTCCTTCATCCTCTGGGCCCCGGCCATCCTCTTCTGGCAGTACCTGGTGGGGGAGCGGACGGTGCTGGCCGGGCAGTGCTACATCCAGTTCCTCTCCCAGCCCATCATCACCTTCGGCACCGCCATGGCCGCCTTCTACCTCCCGGTCACGGTCATGTGCACGCTCTACTGGCGCATCTACCGGGAGACGGAGAACCGGGCCCGGGAGCTGGCGGCCCTGCAAGGCTCCGAGACCCCCGGGAAGGGGGGCGGCAGCAGCAGCAGCTCCGAGCGGTCCCAGCCGGGGGCCGAGGGCTCCCCCGACGCCCCGCCAGGGCGCTGCTGTCGCTGCTGCCCGGCCCCCAGGCTGCTGCAGGCCTACAGCTGGAAGGAGGAGGAGGAGGAGGAGGAAGGCTCCATGGAGTCGCTCACGTCCTCCGAGGGCGAGGAGCCGGGCTCCGAGGTGGTGATCAAGATGCCCATGGTGGACCCCGAGGCGCAGGCCCCCTCCAAGCAGCCCCCCCGGAGCTCCCCGAACACAGTCAAGAGGCCGACTCGGAAGGGCCGGGATCGGCCGGGCAGGAGCCAGAAGCCGCGCGGGAAGGACCAGCTGGCCAAGCGGAAGACCTTCTCGCTGGTCAAGGAGAAGAAGGCAGCTCGGACCCTGAGCGCCATCCTGCTGGCCTTCATCCTCACCTGGACACCGTACAACATCATGGTGCTGGTGTCCACCTTCTGCAAGGACTGTGTCCCCGGGACCCTGTGGGAGCTGGGCTACTGGCTCTGCTACGTCAACAGCACGGTCAACCCCATGTGCTACGCGCTCTGCAACAAGGCCTTCCGGGACACCTTCCGCATGCTGCTGCTCTGCCGCTGGGACAAGCGTCGCTGGCGCAAGATCCCCAAGCGCCCCGGCTCTGTGCACCGCACCCCCTCCCACCAGTGCTGATGGCCCCCTCGCCCTGGTCCCTCCACCCCAGCCCCCGGGCGAGCCCGGGAGAGGGCGGGCAGGGGCTGTGACCTCAGACCCAGGGCCCTGCTCAGCCCTCACCAGGCTTCCCAGGGCCCCCAGGTGGACTTCCTGGACAGCCCAGAGAGACCCTGCCCGCTTGCCACACTTTGCTATTCCCAGGCAGGGCACGAGCCCGGGGAACTGGTTTTTCTGTTCCCTGCTGCCCGGGAGTGGGCTGTTCACCAGGAAGAAGGCCGGGAGGAGGATCCGGCCTCTGGATCCCTTGTTTGCACTTAGGCAGGAAGTTGGTCCCCGAGTCAGCAGGGCGGGCCGGGAGCGAGGTGGTTTCCCACCGCAGTCTCCTTGGCCGGCTGCTGGCCTGGATTGCGGTGGGAAAAGGCGCCCCCTGTGGCCGCAGCGGGGAACTGGCACCAAACGCTGAGAGAAGTTTGGCTCAAAGGGACCAGGCCCTGGCTGGGGATCCCCTCCCTCCCCAGGCACAGCCCACTCTGCTGGGCTCCAGGCACACTCTCCAGGATTGTCCAGCGTCCCTACCAATGTCCTTGGAGCATCCCTATGTGGGTCACCCCTAAGGCAAATGTCCAAGCATCAGCAGGACAATGGCACCAGAGGGGACCGGCTTGGCTAGCCAGCAGCAAGTCCCGAGGCAGCAGCAGCAGCAGACGCCAGGTGTCCTGACTGTCCCACTATGTCATTTCCCTGGGAGCGAGGGGCAGAGGTGCCTGCTGTCCAGCCTCACACCTATATCCCCTGCCCCAGAGAAACCCTCTGTCCCTCCCTGGCTCACAGCCGCCGCCTGGACAGGTCTGCTCCCCGCAGATCTAGCCAGGCCTCCTGCATGCTGCCTGCCTCTGGGCCGCCCCCACAGGCCTGGCCCAGCCAACACGTTCTCTCCTGTGAACTCCCCAGCCCCACCCATGCATGGCCTCCCAGCCATCCTTATCTCCAGGCCCAGCTCGGCCCCAAATATTCTTTTCTTCCATCCTCAGCAAGTGCTGAGTAATAAAGCCACATAATCAGTGGATGCTAAGGGCCCTTCCTCCCTGTGTTGGATCAAGGATCTGCTCTTGGGCCAGGAAAGCAGGATGGGGCAGGGAGGGCCCAAGTACCGTGGAATGTGGACCGCTGCCCTGATGGTGGTCCCAGGAGGGGCAGCACTGAGTGGCTGGATCTACTGAAACCTGAGGGCCCCAGCACCCCAGGGTCCCTGGCTCAGGTGAGTAGGACTGTAATGGGCAGACCTGACTACTGAAATAGAAAAGCCAGGCTAAATAAATTGCACCTGTCCCTTGGCCAGCATATTCTCTATCAGCTTTGCCATATGCAGCTCTTCTGAGGACCCTGCCCTACCCAGAGAGGGGAAAACTGCTGCAAAGCCCCATTTGCAGATGGGGAGACAAAGGCCCAGTGACCCAGGCGGGTTCTTCAGGGTTACTCCACAAAGCAATCCCCAGGCTTCTAGGCAGTAGTGGTTCCCAAAGTGTGGTTGTCGATGGAGGTGCTCAAGACCAGCCTAAGGTCAGTGATTCACTGAAAGGACACACAGAGCTCAGCTGCTACACTCGTGGTTATAGTTTATTACAGTAAAAAGACACAAACCCATAGAGCTGAGTCCAGCAGGGTGCAGGTGCAAGCTTCCGTCATGGGACAGCACTCAATTCTCCCAGCAATGAGGTGTGACAACATGCATGCAGTGAGCCAGCCCGGATAGCTCAGCCGAGCCTCAATGTCCAGGGTTTTTACTGAAGGCTGCCCATGTAGGCACAGCCGACCTTAGTGACTTAGTTGCCAGCCCCTCCAGAGGTTAAACTGACACCACATGGCCCTACTATAAACTTTGTAGCACAGACAATCTAGTACGTTAAGGTCCCCAGGTAAGCAGACACTTACCAGGCAGGGCATTCCGAGGACTCAGGAGTTATCTCCCATGGGCCAGGAAGGGCCAACCTTTTGTTTGGAATGTTTGAATACTCAAGATTTGCTCAGCTAACCCTTCAGTGCACTGTGGCCGTAACCAGTAGCATCAGTATCACCTGGGAACTTGTTAGATCTGTAAGCTCCCAGATTTACTGCCTCAGAAACCCCAGGGGTAGAGCCCAGCCGTGTTTCAACAAACCCTCAGGTGATTGTGATGCAGGCCAGTGTTTGAGAAAGGCTGGCCCACAGGTCTGAGGTCCTGGGTGGGGCTAAACCCTTGCAAGAGAGAGGGAGTGGCGATCCATCCCCATACAGCTGTCAGGACTCCCAGAATCCTTTGAAAAGGGAGCTTCCAGCACTGTGGGCAGGGCCATCCACTGAAGAGGCGAACAGAGCAGGCTGGTCAGGGACTGTGAACAGTGACTCTAGGACACAAACCCGTTTCCCACCAGCACAGCTTCCTGGGTTGTCAGCTCAAGACCCTGAGCAGGCCCCTCCCTTGTCACTGCTTCTACTCATCCTTGAGCCCCTTTCAGAGCTAAATGCCCACCTGTGTTGAAGGCATGGTTCTGGGGGGCAGAGGCACTGAGGAAGCTGAGCGGTGTTGGGGGCGCAAGGCATTGGAATCGCATTAACTGGCAGCTACTGGGGACCAGCAGTGGGAGGTCAAAGCTGGCGTTTGAATCAGGAATGGGGCTGGCAGTTCACACTTTCCCTTTTCCCACGCACAGGTCCTACCTGCCTGTACCTTCTCACCACACAACCTGAGGCAGGTCTCATTTTCAGTGTCCTCATCTCTGCAGGGGAACAAGCCCCTCGGGAAGAGTTAGGACAAATAAGGGAGAACGTAGGGAAAGCAGCTCAATGGCTCCAACCTCCGTGTCACCAGGACCAGGCTGCTCCCAGGTAAAGGCCAGAAACCATCTAGTTTCAGATGCACACCTTTCAATGCTCCTCCAGCCTATAAAGAGTCCAGAGTCCCACCCCCAACCTGAACCCTAACCCCCTACCCCAGCCCAGGGGGAAGAAACGGCTTGGGGGGCGGATGGGTCTGTGGTCCAGGATGCTTCCCAGAGATGGCCTGTGCCCTGCAAGTTCCTGAAGCAAGAATCCTAAAGGTCCAGCTGCCGGGAGATGGAGGAGGTGACTTGAGAAGGTAGCTGGACACAGCATCAGTTCACCCCAACACTGCAGTCCCTCCCACCCTGAAGGAGTCCTTCTTGGCTCCAGAAATAAGGGCCTTTCATTCCTGAGGAGGATGTTGGGAAAGAGTAAGGTGGCTGTGTGAGCGCCACCCCCTCGCCTGGCAGGTTGGAGCAGGCCTAGAGAAGGGGCACAGGGTAGGATCCTCTCTCCTCC